TACTAATTTGTAAATCGTGGATAATTTAATTTCATAAAAATACAATTTTCATATGAAACTGTTATATTTAATTTGCAATGCCGAGTATGTGATCAAAATTTTCATATCATGCGTTTGAAAGGGGTGTGAAGGCACAGAAAACCTAAAATAGAATATAAAAATTCTAATAATTTCCTAGAATGGAAAATAAGAATTATTTATTTTTAATGACTACACAATGACTGACTTACAAATATAAAATTAAAAGTAAGTAGTTCAACAAAATCGGTTAACAATTGGTTGACTTATTGCTTAAAGCGATTTCTTTCAGGTAATCTAGAAAAAAGGAAGTGGGGAAACCTATGGGTGACGATGGTGGAACAAACTATCGTATAACTCCATTTATTATAACATTAAAAAGAAATTAATCTTATGTAAATTTCTCACAAAACAAAATAAATATTAAAATAAGTAAAAAGACAATTTGTTTTAATAATCTTACACAACACAACTATTAATAACTTAATCGGGGTAAAAGACAAAAACAACAAAAATTAGCATTAACAATGAATGACAAACACAGATTATATATTTGACAATTAAGTTTATATTATATTTTACAAAATTAAAAAACTGTACTGTGGTAACGTATGAAACGATAAGACAACATTTTGAAATCGGTAGAGTTATACAGAAACGAAAAACGAGCCAAAACTATCCACCCTGCTTCTTTAAGTTCTTAAGGATAGATACTTTCTATTTCTATGATTTAACTCATACAAATCATACAAAAAACCAAACTTCAGCGGCTGCAACGCGGCTGCAAAATTATAAAGGTGCAAACGTGATTTTAAATGTACTGAACATCTGTATTTGACATCTGGCTTCACCAACTTCGATGTGATTTTTCTTCTATTTATTAATTTATACATTTAGGAAAACAAACAGTTGTTTACAATTTATATAAAGTTAATATAAATTATAAACAACCGTTTAATAGCCCTGATAGTTTTATTACAAAATTCTAATAAAGTTTAGTTTTCATCGAATTACAATAATTTTTGCTTTTTTTAAATAAAACCTCTCCCATTTTTTGTTTATATTGGTTTACCAAAAATTTGTCAACGCCATCTAATTGTTTTTTCTGAGGGTTTTGATATAATATTTTAACCAGGGTACGCATTGCATATTCCGCTAAACGCCATTTTGTCAAAAAAAAAAATTAATTTGGAAAATAACAACCACAAAAGAAACCTGACTCGGATTAGTAAATTTTTGTGGATATTCTGGCTTTCACATCCTTTGTACTGAACTAGTGGTGCTCAAGTTGAGTTTGGTGCTTCCTTGTTTTTCAATATTTACTTACGCCATGGAAATAAATTAAAGTGATAAATGATGATACTCATTAAATATTTGCAGAAAATATAACTTCCAAATACAAGAAAGGTTTTCAAATTTAAAAATTCATGAAAACATTTAAGACAACAAAATTAAAAACACCTTTCGAGAGGTAATTACTTACTCTGCTCGTGGTCGAAGCCTGCCGAAATTTCGGGCGCAGCTGTCTATAATGGAAGGCAATAAGATTAGACTGATAGTGACGCGTGCGCAGACGCCGTTGGGTCTTTTAGGGAACACATTGTTAATAACGCAGCTGCCACGATTCTTAAAATGAAAGTAATGTGAAATGATGGATCCGTATAAATTGAGTATTTTTTATACCTTGATTTTTTTTTTTATTACGAGCATCATTAGTGAAAGTATAAAATAGCGATTATATAATTTTAACCCCGAGACTACTAGAACACGAATCTGCTTAAAGTATGAAAACATATCAAATCGAATGACAAAAATAAAAGTAAAGTTTAACTAAACGATTGCAAAGTTTATTTAGCATAAATACCGATTATATATTAATAATGAAATATACAACATACCTATGTTTAACTGATTGTGAAATTACATACCTACAAATGTACCTATGTTAAAGTTGGTTGTGTAGATGTCTGCCACCCTATAAGTATATAGAAGGATTGCCAAATTTAGTTCAACCGTAAAAAGCTATTGCTGAGGAGCTTAATAAAGGATGAAATACTGTAGTAATTTCGTATCCGCAAAACATAAACAAACGAAATTGCATCGCGACAGTTATCCTGAAGTTCTAGAGCGCACAAAGTCCGTATTACTTTGAAGAAAATGCATCTTGCTGCTTAAAGGTTTTTAAGTAAGTACATACTGTCAGCTTCTTCAGGTAAGCACCTTTTATATTTAATAAAATTTGAAATTTTATTACACTTCTTATTATTTGTTCCAGCAGACGCTCTTTGTAGGACTCGTGTCTATGTTGATATTAACCCATTTAATAAAGACCAAGGTCTTTACATTTACTATTTCGTATATAAAACTGTTAAGGTAAGTACCTATATAGACGAAAAGTTGTAAGTTTCTGAAAAATTGCGCAGTAGTGACGCAGATGACATGCAACTTCTTAGTTGATGCGTCGTGTCGTAAAGGTTTTAATTGACAAACTTATATTATTAGCAACGTAACTACAACGTCGCTCTAAGATCTAAAGAAACGTTTAATAAATACCAAGACCAAGACTGGCTAAGTCTCCGCTTGTTCTTGCATTTGGGCAACACTAATAAAATACAGCAGTTCTTGTGACTTATAAGCAATTATTTCCTTACAGCAATTTAGATAATATTTTTGAAAGAATCTACAATTAAACACACACATATCACCACCTAGATTTTGAAAATATGTTTACGATGTTTGCCGTAACATATTCAAGATGTAGCATAGTTTTCGCGCATTTATGAATTTTATAAATACTTGTTGTGTTGCAACTTATTTTAAAGCTTATTAAGTAAAATAGAGATATAGGTGTTCTTTTATCGTTGAGCTGATTTGAGTTACTGAACCTTGACTTTTTTGGAAGATAAAGTTCGATACGCATTACTTTCACTCCTTTCCTAACAATTAAAATGTAGATAATTTGCGTAATGCGATTTAATGTGTTTTTTTTTATTGTTTATTTCTACCATTCGCATAGCGACAATATGAGAGCATTACGTTATAAGGCAACATGCGTACAGACGGGTAAATATAACTAACTATAGTATCGATGCCGCAGGTGGTTAGGTTCGATTATTCGTTTTTGGCGAATCAAAGGACGGCAGGTGCGCAGGCGCAGGTGACGCCGTGATCTCAGCCGTTATTAATATACAGCATGAGTGCGATTTGACTGATGCGCTAGATATGATAAATATTGCTTAAAGTACAATTAGTTATTTAATAAGAAATACACGAATGTAATTTATGTATCGTATAATTTGTTATGGATGCATAAATTGTGGTTCATATTTCATTTATTATCTTTACCAGACATTCTATTACGTTCTCAGTTAATAGATAATGTTCAATGAATTATTAAATTTTAAATGATTTTCTTTTTCATAATTAAGCGTATTTTATGAAATTAATTTACATAAGTCTATCTATACTAATTTACAATATCTATACTTAATATTATAAATTGGAAAGATTGGTTTGTTTCTTTGCATTGAATGCTTCAGAACTATAAACTACCGGAATGTTATTAATATTTGAGAGATAGGATACGTCATATGCGAGTCACATAGGTTATAAATTTAGCGGGTGAAATCACAAGAAAACAACTCCTTATAAAAACAAAAAAAAATCATCCTTTGTAAAGGCTTGGGAGTCGTGCGCTACTTCTTAAACATATGCGAGATAAATGCAACACGGCATGTGCCGTCCAAACAAAGTCTGCCAGCAACCACACAATTAGCAAAAGACTTATATACATTTACCTAAAAGTCTGCCATCTGCCAAAGAAGAAACAGTAAGATTGAAACTCTTTAACGGCACTTTTACATGAGATTTTTAAGTGATTTTGCGACCATCTAACCCTGTAGCCTTGACACTAACAATAGAATTCAATATTTTAGAGATTTTATGGAGATATTTTATATAATTTTGCTTCCTCCCAAAATAGGTTTTTTTTTATTTTTTTTTTATTAACCCGGCCCACATTACGGGCCAGGCCCTACACTTTTCCCCACTTTTTAGCAGGCCCTTGCTATGCTAGTTTTATCATGCATACCAGTTCTCGCGTTTTTACCTATCACTCTCATACTGCATACGACACTTACATTCATCTTTTTTTATGCTTTTGCGGGGGGGATTTCCCGCCTACTCTAATTCTGTGTTCCTATTCTACTTTTTATTTATTTGTTCCTTTTATTATACTAGAGGATGTGGGATAAGGATTTGGGATCTTACATTCTATGTTTTATTTTTATTTAATGTGCTTTATTTCCTTTCTTTAGCTTCTTTATTTTACATGCTGTGGTTCTATTAATTTATTTCTTTATTATTTACTTCAATGTTTTGTTATACAATGTTTTCTTACAACTGTTTTTGTTTTTCATAAGTTTCTTATAGGTTTATAATTTACATTTTATCTTATATTCTATTACAGTTTTTACTTATTCTATCTTATTGCTATTTACATTTTCTTATCTCTAATTTATCTAATTGATTACCTTTTACTTACTATTACATTTTTATACTATTACATATTTTGTTTATTTTATTTCTTTAGTTTAACACTGTTTTTCCTATTCATTTATTCTTATTGCATTGTTATCAATCTGTTTTATCTATATGTTTTTTACCCCTTTTTATTGTATTATTGTTTGTTGTTATTCTGTTATTTTTTTATACTAATTATTTTCTAGTCACGTTTATATATTCAAAAATATGTAATTGTGAACTAGACTTATTCTATTTTTATATATGCTTTATTATTTTTATGGTTGATTACTAATCCACTTAGTTTTCGTACCATATTTTCCTGTCTTATGATATATATTGGAAGTGCATGTGATCTTATCTTCATTATAGTTTCGCCAGCACTTTCAGTATAATTTTGGTTTTTTGTGTTTGTATTTTATTGTCTGTCTATGTTGTTGTTTTGTTTTTTAATTTTGTGTTTATGTTGTATTAATGTACTTGTATTGTGTGTTGTTCTATTTTGTTTGTAGTTGTTACTATGAATATGCTGTTGTGGCCCTGGCCAGGAAGTCCCATTTAGCTCTGACTGGGCATTCCCTGCTAAATGCGTTATGCGCGACGTTCTGCATCTCCGAGTGCGAGCAGTTACAGCACCGAGGAGGTTTATCCTCCTTGTCCGGACAATCCGTACGAAGGTGGGATCCCCCACAGTGACTGCATCTACTCGCACTCGCAGTGCAAAATTTTCTTCCGTGGCCAAACTCAAGGCACTTTGTGCATTGGATCACCGGCGACTGGTCCTCCACCCGGACTCTTTGTAAGTCTATGTGGAGGTGCCCTGCCCCGGTCATTCTCTGCCAAAGCGCGGGTCTGACCTGTAGTGCCACATGAATAGTGTTGCTGCTCCTTGTACTTCTTTTAAATTTTATTCTGGTTACTGTGTCTTCCTCTGGCAATCCTTGGTATATATTTTTGTTTTGTTCCTTAATGGCTATTAATAGATCGTCATCATTAATATCATTAAAAACATCTTTCAATATCACCAGAGGGTCCTTATTTTTAACCTTTTCGACTTTAAATCCTTTTTCTTGTTTTAATTTTTCTTCTTTGGTTCTTATTTGCTGTTTTTCTTCGCACCCAATTATCACCCTTGCGTCTTTACATTTTCTCAGTCTATCCACTTTTATACCTTCTTGTTTAGCATTTATTTTCTTTTTTGCTTTTTGTATAATGTCCTCACTCATATCCATTGGATTTGTTGATGAGATTATGACTGAGTGGAGGGTTTTTGGGACCTTGATGTTCTGATCCCTTATCACCTCAGCATATGTTAATTTTTTGCTAGTGTGTTCTGCTATTTCTTTTGTATCATTATTTACGCTTGGGTTTTTTATTGTTATATCTTTTATCTGATGCCTAATCTCAGCTATCACCTCCTCTCTGGCGTGTGTGATTTTGTTATTTAGGTGTTGTTCGACCTCATTTAAACGCTGTTTCACTGGTGTGTAATCGGTGCTTTCCTTGTAGTGTGTTTCCTTGTCCGTATCATTTATTTCAATTATGATTATTTCCGTATAATTTTCTATTTTATTGTTTGTTTCATCTATCTTTTCTTTTATTGTCATTTCGCTGTCTTCAATTTTCTCTCCTATCCTTCTACCCACATCTATTATTTCAGCTGTTAAATTGTCTTCTAAGCTTTTCAACTTTTTTATAATGTTCGTTGATTTTTTACTTCTATTCCATTCATCCCCCCCTTCATTAATTTTTTCCTCTATTTCCCTAAGTTTATATTCTATAGTTTTTGTGTTTTTCTCTTCCATTTCCTTGATTATTCTTTCCAATCTTGTTGTTGTGTCTTCTTGTTGTTCCTTGATTTCTTTCTCCATCTTTGCAATTCTTTCTGTGATTTCTTCTTCCTTTTTCAGTTCTTGTAAGTCTCTTTCCATTTTTCCGTATCTTATTTTCTGCTGTTCTATATAACTGCGGATTTCTTCTGCCGTATTTTCCATTTTTTTCGACTTTTCTTTTGTCTTTCTTAGGGTCATAATAATTTTTTCCTTTGTGTCCTTCCTTAGTGTCGTTTGTGATTCCAGAACTTCAAGGGCCTTGGACAGCTTATTTGTTATACCCGTCAGATCATCCCAAAACCTGTCCATGTCTGGTCCCCATTCCTGTGGTTTTGTTTCCATTTTTATTGGTGTTATCTTGGGACTATTCCCAATGCTCGTTCTCGGTGATGGAATGGGGGTCAAACTCTGGTTTCCAGACATACTCTTTGTTATCTGTGGTGATCCTATCATTTTCTTTCTTTTCAGGTACTGGTGCGCTGTTCTGTGGGTTACTGTCTACTTGGGGACTATGTAATGGTGTAAGATTGGCAAGTATTGTTTTTATTTTATATTTTATGAGTGTTTAATGTATGATTATATGTTGTATTTGTTCGTGTTATTGTATTTACTTAATTGTTTGTGTTTTAATGCTTGTTGCAGATCTACTGCTTCGTCTTTTTTGGCGTGTTGTTGAGTGTTTTTTATTATTTTATTGGTGTGTAATTGTATTGTGTTATGTTTGTATTGTGTTTTGAGTGTATGTGTGTATTTTCAGTTGCAGAGCCTAGCTCGATGCGTCCGTGTCAAAAAAAAAACATATTCTAAGACTCGTCCCAATAGGGTACGATGTCAAAAAGTCATAAAAGGTATAAATAAAAGTCAAAAATAGCTTTGTTTTTTTTTATAAGAAACAGGGTAAAATAAAATCAATTTTAATCCCGAAAATATCTAATTCCCATTCTTTTACTTTAGTCACCTTGTTTATTTCTCTAATGTTAATCTTTAATAATTTTTTGAGATTTTTCGGTAGAAAAATGAAAAATTTTCCCGTTTTTTTCCGGATTTTGGATTTTCAATTTTTTTTTTGCCCTGAAGGGGCCTACAGGTGTTTATGCTGTATACTATCCGAAAACCGCGTTGTTTAATTCCAAAAGATGAATGAGCTACGAGGCATCAAGGACTCGGCCCGTTCGGTCCAATATGGCCGCTGTTTTTCGAAATCTCGCGCGCTAGAGGGTTAATCTTTGGGGTTTTTAGTGATGCCGGGGGGGGGGGGGGTTATAAAACGTTCCCCGGTGTCAATTTACATCTATCTTTAAGGGTTTTTCAATGAGGGGCAAAAGGGGGCAAATATTTAAAAATCTTAAAAACTATGTACAGTAAAATTCTGAAACTTATAATATACCAAGGTCTATTGCTATTCTAACTAATATTAAAATTTCAGGCTTCTGGCTTTGAAGTTGCGCCTCCTGGAGTCAGGGGAAAAGTGGGCCCAATTTTGTCCCGTCGATTCCCGCTAATGTAGAAGAGCCCGGTTGACGTCGATTTTTTTCTGGATAGTGCTGGGGACTGCCTTCGAGGGCCGCTCATAAAAATGAGCTGTTCTCCACAATCCCCAGACACTATGAATTTTGAAGTTAGAATACTTTAAAATCGCGTAGAATCGCCAAGCCTGATTCTCTTTTTTAGAGCTTCGGTTCTTTCTGTTCGTCTCGGTGTCCCCCGTCTTTCTGCACTGTCGCTGGTCCCCCAGGTCCCCCGGATCTGGTGCCTCGTGGCGAGAGGTTATTTGGTTTATTCCCAATACCTCTCAAGCCACGCGGAGTTGAGGGGAGCCCGACGTGTCAAAAGATGCGTCTCGCGAGCGTTCGCCTAGAGACACTTCGCGAGCGAAGTTCCGTTCAGTGGTCACTTTTTTATTCACTAAAAACACTTAATTTTTACACAAACACGTGTTCGTTTTTCAGTTTTTTCCTTATATCTTTTCGCACTGTGATCCAAATTTAGCTTGCGATATGTCGGCGTACAGGTCTCGCGACGCCGCGTCTTTTGGTATATCGCTCGTTGTTATATCTTCAAGATTTACCACATTTTTATTTTTTAAAGATTAAGGAGCACGTGTTCCGATCCGTCTCGGACGATAATCCTCCCAAAATAGGTTAGTTTCCATCTTGTTTGCCTTCATTGAATGGACTGCTTGTAATTTATAAATTTTGTTCCTCTTATTGCATTATTTCAAGGCTTATAACAATGTAAATACTAGGGGTTAAAGTATGAAATTGAAAGCATGTCTTGAAATTGTATAAAAAATAAAATAAGAAATGTGTGCCTCATGATTTGTCTGATCTGCAGAAAAAAACGCGTGTTGAAACTTGTGTTGCCTGGTTGAATCGGTACAGAAATAAAGGAATATAGGATCGAATTGTGACATGTAATGGAAAGTGGATTCTTTATGATAACCGCAAAAAAAAAAGGGAATGGCTGACCCCAGATAAAACGCCATAACAGTGTCCTAAAGCAACACTAACTAATAATTAGTAATGGTACCTGTTTGTTGTTCTTAGCATGGCGTTATTCACTATAGTTTTCTCCGATCTGGTCAAGCAATAACGGAAGATGTCTATTGTGTCGAACTCCGGACAATTTGGCAAAACTAGCAATAAAACAGACTTATGAATCGATCTTCACCATTATTGGTCCATGACAACGCGAGACCTCATACAGCACGAGATTCCGTTTTGACCCTTCAGGAACTGCAGTTAGAAACCATTCATCCTTCTTCGTATTCGCCACATCTTGCTCCAATGGACTAACATTTTTTTCATGATTTGGACAATTATCTACGTGATAAGGAGTTTTCTTCCCAAGAGGCAGTACAAAATGCTTTCAATGCAGTTTGTGCAGTCTAGATCCTCAGAGTTCTGTCGCAAAGGTATAAATGAACTTCCTATTAGATGGCAGGAATGTATAGATAATAATGGTAACTATTCTGATTAAATATAGTTGTTAAAAAAAAAATACAATTTTGATTTTCAGTACAAATCGGCAATTATATGAATTCTTATACATATATAATAATTTAAAATTAAACCTAATCCTTCGGTTTTTGGTAATCGTATTAATAATATAAAAAAAATGTGTTAAATAATATGATGTGTGTGTACTCCAGAATCCTAATCTATTTATATTTGTTAGATATACATAATTAATTGCTATTTAACATTTATATTTTTTATATTTTATATACTTAAGTAGAAGAAGCGTTAAAATTGCTTAACTACGTTTAAAGAGCCGCTCCTAAAATCGAATATTATGTATGTACCTACCGCATGCATATACTTTGAATTTAATAACCTCGTTAAGGTAATAAACCTCTTTTATAAATATGAAATATATTCTTAGTGGCAAAATTTTGTCCGATATTATATTTTAGTCATCAAAGCTTTTCCAAGAACACTACAGTAGATTAATCGGCGGGCACCTACTACTTACTTATTATACTTATTAAATTTGTTAATCACTTCCAAAGTCAAATTTAATAAGAAATAATAGATAGAAAGAATGATTAGTGCCAAACATCTTTTGGCCATCATACCGGATATGCCTACTCTGTTTTATTATTACTGCAGCTTCTATGGCAAGGGCTGCTTTTTTCTCCCTGTTTTATTACATACATACTCAACAATATATTCATATAATAAAAATGTAACGTAAAATAATAAACGATAAACTGCATGATACTGCACGCAACCACTACACATTTAGAGAATATCCTTTACTAAGTAGATAATTTTTAACACGAGTCTTAAATTGTGTACATGACTATATTAAACGTAACTTCTGTTAAATAACAGCAACGAGCACACCTCTGTCGCAATATTAGAGGTTCAACAAATAAAGCTTACTTAAAAAGGTAATATAGGTTTTATTTGTTTGACCATTAATGCTGTGACAGCGCAGTGTTCACCATACAGCGTCGAAAAGCAAAACTGCTCTGCGGTTTGTGTTCTGTTCAGATTTTTATCATACAAGAGCTCTTTATCTACTCATACGTAATTTGGGATTTGAGCTTATATTATAACTTAACTATGAATAAAAATGGCCACACCTGTATTAGTTTTTTAGGGTCTGACGCAGAACGTGCACTTCGCAAAATGTGCACTTGACAAAAAATGCGCTTTTCGCATTTGGTGCACTTCTCAAAATGGGCACTTCGCAGAATGAGCATTTCGCAGAATGAGCATTTCGCAAAATGAGCACTTCGCAGAATGAGCACTTCGCGGAATGAGCACTTTTTGTGGAAGTTAATTAAAATTAATAAAAAAGAAATGGGTACTGCGTATTTAAAATCAAATAAACACTTTTACAACGTATTTATTTAAAAAGTAATTAAACCCGCTTTTTATTATGTATAATAGTTATATTCTGTTAAGACATAATAATAAATAAAAAAAAAATCTGTATTAAGAAAAATGAAAGAATATGAAAAACAATATGGATTAGTTTATTTATGAATGTCAAAAGAAATCGCAAGCAAAAAGATATTGTTTTCGATCGCAAATATAACAGGCTGTTGGGTAAATTAGAAAATGGTAATGTAACAGTGCCTAAGTTTTTAAAAAAAGGATTTTTTTTGCAGTTTATGAAGTAATTCACTTAATAACATTTTTCTATATTGTATAATTACCTGCTAAAATCTTCATACTATTTTTTGTTAAAAATAGGTGAGATTAGCATAATTATTATATGTCATGATCTGAAATGTGTATATTTTTCTATATTGTATAATTACCTGCTAAAATCTTCAAACTATTTTTTGTGTAAAATAGGTGAGATTAGCATATTATTTATTGATCTAAAATGTGATTTTTATTTGTATTTACAGTTATTTTCGTAAGGGTGATGTCAAGCATTTAAAAAATGGGTAATTTTTTGTATGTGCATTAAAATAATCATCTAGGTTTTCGTATCTGTTTTATTAAAATTATTTAATATTTTTAACTAACAATCAAAACCTAGTGGACTTAATTACTTTTTAAATAAATAATTACGTTGTAAAAGTGTTTATTTGATTTTAAATACGCAGTACCCATTTCTTTTTTATTAATTTTAATTAACTTCCACAAAAAGTGCTCATTCGGCGAAGTGCTCATTTGCGAAGTGCTCATTTTGCGAAATGCTCATTCTGCGAAATGCTCATTCTGCGAAGTGCCCATTTTGAGAAGGTCACCAAATGCGAAAAGCGCATTTTTTGTCAAGTGCACATTTTGCGAAGTGCACGTTCTGCGTCAGACCCGTTTTTTAAAGCCAAATACGAAAATATTTTTTTCCCGACCTCTTATAATCAAAAGACCTCACACCATTACAAAAATCGCTACAACGTCTTTGAGTTTTGAAAAGGATTCACAAAAGATTAGCGTACCCATTTGTTACATTACATGTAGTAGTGCTGGTACTTTATAAAAAAAAAC